CGGCAGGAATAACAAATCCTGCTTCGTACAATTTGCTACCATTAAATATTATAATGCAAAGAATTTTAGCTGGAATAAATAGTAGGCAATTTTAAACTGGTGCAAGAACTTGATGCTAACGGTAATCTTGAAGAAGACGCCCAGTAATTCTTGCACACCTGCTAAATAAATCAGGTCATCCTGAGAATATGCAGCCCTTGCAGTTTCCACTGACAACCGCATCAAGTCGAAGACTCTTTTCTCACCAACTTTAATACATTCCATTGTCTTCACTCGTACTGTTAACATCTTGTAATTTTAGTAAAGTTATTTTTTAAAGACTTGTGATTTCCTAAAATATAATTGGCGCAGTCGGTAGGATCAAATTCTCGCGTCTGTCATATACAAAGATACTTTGCTACAAAACTTAAGACGAGGTATCTTTAAAGGTTGTAAAGAAAAAGAATGCCACCACTAACCAAAAGAAGCAACCAAGCTATTGAAAAAATAAAAATATTCTTTGAAGATATAGAAATTAAAGAAATTAAACACGAAGTATTCATTAAAAATGTCACTGAGAAATTAAAACTAAATCAATTAGACAGCATTATTCTAGGCCCACAAAAATTTCACCAAAGCTTCCTACATGGAAACTCATTTTGCCAAAAGAAAAAAGAAGTATGTGAGTGTAGTTGATGAGATCAACAGTTAAGAGATTATACAATTAAAGTGGATAACCACCAGTTAAGATTAACAGACAGCTTCTTCGGCCTTTGAATACAATATCGCCAATAAGAAGAAAGAAGCAGTAAAAGACACTTGAAATCTAGAAATGATTCAAGCTTGGATACTACTTTAGAGTTCAGTAGTCCACAAGAAAATTCAAAATGTGCAGAAGCCATCCTCAAATCTACCTACAACCAAAAAGTCATCCTCTTTAAAGATTAAATTTATGTTAAGTTCAGTCTAATAGTATCAATTTTATTTTTTAACAATATTATGAACCTAAAAAATAAACGAAGTAGAATAAGTACATCTAAATTTTATTCTTATTTCATAATAGTAGTACGTATCTACTATTACATGTGGTACAGTATCTGCAATGTTCCAATGAAGCAAATAAAAAAACTAAAATTAATGTCTATTGATTTCATTCTTTTATAAGGCTACATCAATCCACAAAGCACAATGTGTCTGAAGGAGCCAAAATCCGCATATATAATCTCTCATAAACCTGCAAAACATAATCTTTTCCTTCTTCGGTCTGCAGGAAGGAAGTGGTGTCATCCTATGAATACCAAGTATTTTATTCATAAATTTAAAGTATATCATAACGAATATTTTTTTATGGTAATCGCAGATCTAGAGCTAAAATCCCCATTTAAAAAATCACACCAAGAACCATAAACAAGACTTCAGATTCATAATTTTGCTATAATAAATACCATATGCTCGAAAAAAAGGGTGTCAAATTGGCTTGAACATGTCGATCGATAGCATTCCCTATATAATTTTACATAAAAAATGACAGCGATCTTCATTTGAAAGCCATCGCTGAACCTTTTTTCGGCCATGTTGTACGATAAATACCAGCAAGGGAGAAAAGAAAAGACATTAATTGTAGTCTAGTTGATCAGATCTCATCATCAGGAAACTAATTTTATTAAAATATGAAAAAGTGTACACCATCACCATAGTTGTTAAAATAAAATAGAAATAGAGGTGCTAGATGCTGACTATACATTGAAACAGAAAATAAAGAAATGTTTCATTCAGCTGCTGTATCGATCGATAGTGAGCAACAAGACAAAAACAGTATCCCTGTATATTGATTGGTCGGGATTAACAGTGACTTTGCAACTCACTAGACGTTAGTAAATATATACACAGCAAAATATCACTGACCAGAGTAGCCAACGTGTGGACGCATATGCCAGAGCCCAGACTAACTCCCTTTGATGTGTCTTGAAAAAACCGACAACAGATGGATCGGTCACCAATGCTTGGGCCAACTCAGCCAATGCTGCAAACAAGATCTATTGGTCTTGTTTGCGACTATTGTCCCCTCTACACGTTGGCCATAAGCACTGACCAACTCTATTGGCACATGCATGGTCCAACGAAGAGCCATTAGAGGTTAATAGTACACAAGAAAATTTAAAATCTGCAGAAATAATCTCTAACCTTCGTAAACCAAAAATGCATCCGCTTTCAAGATTAAATTTACGTTTGAACGTTGTTTTATTGGTTTCTTTCTTGTATATGGTTACACCAATCCACGAAGCATGTGTTTCCTCTCCGTCAATCTACAGGACGGAAGTATTATATCGTCCTATGAATACCAAGTATTTCAGCGGCACCTATATAAAGTTAAAGCAAAACATAGATTTGAACGCCAATCAGTAGCCCAAAAAGTCAAAGCATTTTTTCAGTGATTAAAAGACCAATCTAAGAAACAAGTGAAAATATGAATTCGTCTTTTAAAATATGATCCAAGCGCAAAAAACAAGCTACATGACCGCTACTAGTTAAAACCAAGAAATATCGTCTCACTGAAATGTGTGTTAATTATATCTGTCTACAAATAAGTTTTCAAGATTACCCAAAAGTGCTTAATCAGCAGATACCATCTCACTTCGCATTAATGACATTTCTAGCGACACTGATTCAACATTGTCGAAAAAATAAGACAAGGAATTTTTGCGTTACATGTTAACGAGTTTTTATAAGTAATCAGTTTACTGACATTGATCTCAAATGAGGTAACCAGGTAATGATATTTTGCCTACCACTACCTGATTGTACCTGGAGAAGAAATATTCAACGTAACAGACTAGAACTTCATACAGTGAACATAACCTGAATTGGAACAACTGCCTAAGTTGGATAGAAAGATGGAGTTGGTGGGAAAAATTAGGGGACATATGAAATGTTTGCTTTTTATATAGGGGAGGACCGATGAAATCTGTTCAATGAATTGATATCTTTCCTACATAAAGTCATTACGATTGCCAATTACAACAAATCGCGATCGCTAAACCATACAGCTCTTACATAAACCATACAGCTCTTACATGAGAAAGCTTGAATTTCATGCATCCGTTGTCCGACGATACGTTGATACGATATTAATTTTATTGGTAGAATTTAAAGACTGATTGGTTAGAAAATAATGCAGTTTTTAAATTTATTGCATTTTCATGTCTCACAAACACTATGACCAATCAGAGCACCGTCGGACCAACGTATCAACGTATAAACTTGATTTTCATGCATCCGTTATAAGTTGATACGATGGTCCGACGGTGCTCTGATTGGTAATAGCGTTTTCGCGCCACTTTTCATCCGTAAATATTTTACTTCAGCCTGTCAACGGATCCGTTCATACGATAACGGACGTTTTGACACTTTTTTGACAAATTTAATCTAACCTTAATAAAAATATAAGTAAAATAACAAAATCGTTATGGAAACGAAAATATAAAATAACACCAACGTATATCCGATAAACGGAGGCATGAAAATGCAATAAATTTAAAAACTGCGTTATTTTCTAACCAATCAAAGTCTTTAAATTCTAGCAATAAAATTAATATCGTATCAACGTATCGTCGGACAACGGATGCATGAAAATCAAGCTTAAAGCTTGATTTTCATGCATCCGTTATACGTTGATACGATGGTCCCACGGTGCTCTGATTGGTCATAGCGTTTTCGCGCCACTTTTCATCCGTAAATATTTTACTTCAGCCCGTCAACGGACCCGTTCATACGATAACGGACGTTTTGACACTTTTTGACAAATTTAATCTAACCTGCATAAAAATATAAGTAAAATAGCAAAATCGTTATGGAAACGAAAATATTACATTGTAACACAAGTACAAGTTTGTTGATAAATAATTGCAATACTTATTTATAAATAATTTCAACATGTAACATTGTAACAAATTTGTTTGTATTTTTACATAGTCTTCTTAAAAAGACACCAAACGAAACCCTATATTTCTCAAAACTTTGAATATTTAGTCTTCAATTTTTACCTTATTACTGCAACATTTTAAACAAGTTTAACAAAGTAGAAAAATTCAGGTCCAAATAAAAACCAAACAAATATTAATTTGAAAATTCTAACAAAAAAAATCATAAATACCTATGGAGAACATATATAACAAACCTAACATCACCAACATATTTAAGATCAGTAAAAATGTACAGGAATGATACAAAATAGGTCATCTGTCTGCAAAAAAAGCCTGGATACGTATATAAAACGTTGGAATAAAAACAGCGCAGTATCACAAAAATTATAATGATGCAAGAGAATTTTTATGGTTTTGTTTTTATTCTCTCTCTCGCAACCTACAAACCAAAATGCAGCTAGAGTTTCTTTTACTGTGGGTATGGATTTTAAAAATCTTGAAACCTTGAAAAATAGCTGGTTTCTGCCAGAGGGCATAATTATTAAAGTTTAATTTCAAGTATTTTTTTCGTCGAATGAAATATCCAAACACTTTCATAAATATCACATTCAAGATTTAGGTTAGGTTGTAGTAAGTATAAGTAATAAAGCACCCTTCATGATAAAACGTTTTCATCAACAATATTTTCAAAAAGTTTTATACTCAGTCATGCTTTAGACCAGCGGTCGCCAACCTGTCGATCGCGAGCTACCGGTAGCTCGCGGATGCAATTCTGGTAGCTCTCACAATTTTAAAAACACAAACTGCAAAAATCAGAGAAGCTTCCGAAAATTCCACAAAAAAATGTAATTGTCATAATATTAAACATAAACAGCGGCAACGTTGCGGTGAGCGATGCCGCTGACGCCATCAAGCTAGAAGCGGCTAGAACCGACCGGCCGGACCAGCGCGTTAGTGTTCGAGAGAGAACGGTCTGGATTGCTTTGAACGGTATAAATACGCACGGTGCGGCGACATTGCGCTTAGTTTAAAACTGAACCTGAACGCATAACCAACGTCCAGCGGTTGGGTTAGTAGAGAACAACAAAAAAGAATATTATGGCAAGCAGTAGTAAGAAGGTAAAGACATACCACTTTCATTCGGAATGGGAAGAACAGTACTTTTTTACAGAAGTTAAAGGTAAAAATGTGTGTTTGTTATGTAATACTTCGGTCTCCGTTGCTAAAAAAGGAAATATTGAGAGACATCATACAACTGTACATTCTAATTTTGAAAAATCATTCCCACTACATTCTGTCGCCAGAAAGGAGAAACTGAAACAGTTAAAAAATCAGTTAATCGGACAACAATCAATATTTTTAAGAACAGTCGACAAAAATAAGGCTGCAACTGAAGCATCGTACCGTGTGTCCCAGATAATTGCACAAAAAAAGAAACCTTATGAAGACGGGGAAATGATAAAACAGGCGTTTTTAGAAGCTGCTGATTCGTTATTTGCCAACTTTAGAAATAAAGACGAGATACTTTCAGCTATAAAATCTATGCAACTTTCTGCTAATACAGTGATGAGACGTGTAGAAGTAATGAGCAATGATATTTTTTTACAGTTAAGAACTGACTTAGATAACTGTGTTTATTTTTCACTTCAACTGGATGAATCAACAGATGTGGTTGAGACTGCCCAGATGGCCGTGTTCGTCAGGATGGTTTTTAGTGATTTTACGATTAAAGAAGATCTTTTGAAGTTTATTCCACTGAAAGGATACACTACTGGACAGGAGTTGTTTTCTCATTTAAAAAATATTATTTCTTCCGAGAAAATTCCAATATCGAAAATGGTAGGCTTGACAACCGATGGCGCTCCAGCTATGGTGGGTTGTGATAAGGGTCTGGTGGCGTTATGTCGTAAAGATGAAACTTTTCCGCAATTTCTCTCTTACCACTGCATTATCCATCAGCAAGCATTATGTGGAAATTTTCTGAAACTAAACAACGTTATGAAACTGGTGGTAAAAATTGTGAACAAGATTAGAGCTCAAGCATTACAAAGAAGATTATTCAAAACTTTGGCCGATGAAGTCGACTGTCAATACGGGGACCTACTCCTTCACTCTGGAGTCCGATGGCTAAGTAGAGGACGAGTGCTGAAACGTTTTAATGATGTCCTATCTGGCATAGTTCAATTTTTCAAACAACGCGATGAACCGATTCCGGAACTAGAAAATTCAATCTGGCTTCGGGATTTTGGTTTTCTCGTGGACATTACAGAGAAATTAAACGAACTTAATTTGCAGCTTCAGGGGAGAGACAAAGAACTAGCGGAAATGATTTCTGATATAAAAGCATTTATCAGAAAGCTGGAGTTTTGGGAACAAAACCTAATTAACAGCGATGCCAAGCATTTTCCTATTCTTTCAGAAAAGATATCTCAAAATCCATTAGAACCCTATGACAGCAAATATCATGTAGAAATAGTTTCTACCTTGAAGAATAACTTCAAAAATCGTTTTAAGGACTTCGACGAAATGGCTTTAGTAGCGCAGTTTGTTGGTTCACCCTTTATGGAAATTGATATCCAACAGTTTGCAACTTGTGTTATGCAGAACTTTGGCGAAGACATCGCTGCAACAGAAATGGAAGTAATTGAGTTTCAAAATGATTTAGCCTTAAAATCGTTAGTCTCAAGTACCAAATGTATCTGGTCTATTGTAAGCAAAGACAAATATTCAGTTCTATGCCGTGTTGCCTTGAAAGTGAAAGCATTATTCAGTTCAACCTATTTGTGTGAATCTTCTTTTTCCAATATGAAGTTTATTAAGAACAAATATCGCAATCGACTTACAGATGAACATTTGGATAATTGTATTCGAATGGCTGTATCAAATTATACTGCAAACATTAAAAAAATTATCGATGAGTCTGAGTGTCAGCCTTCCCATTGAACGTGCTTTTTTATTTCTCAATGTTTATGTTTATGATAGTGCGTTACTTTTTTGTTGATATTAATAACAATTTTTAAATCTTACGTGACATGCCGTTGTGGCTGGATAAAAGTTTGTGTTTATTTTTCAAACACCTTCGTTTGGTAGGTAGGAATGTAGCTATGAACAAGTACGTACTAGTAATATTAGTGTTTTGTTATTAGTTTATTATTAGTACCTATGACATGTATTATGTATTACCAGTTAAATAGTAAAATAAATACATATAATGATAAATTAACTCTGGATTATTTCATTTACGTTGCGTTACGTGGCTTCCGTGTGGGTAGCTCACTGTTTATTCCAAAATTAACATAGTAGCTCAACACATTGAAGAGGTTGGCGACCGCTGCTTTAGACGATGACAAAAAAATATCATATGAAAAATTACAATTCAAACATGTCAAAGTATGCTTGATTATAAAAATTTTACGATACAATACTTTCAACAACGATACAGTACTTTCAGGTCGTGTAATCAAATTGCTGAAGGTAGACAAAAAAATACACCTTCCGTTATAAACCAACCAAATTTTAAATCACTTTGTATTTATTCATTATTAGAGTGATATTTTTTACAACTGAAGATTAACAACAACCTATTTACTTACTGAAAAATCACACTATCTGTGCTTGAAAACCTTATGCAACCTTTAAGTAAGTTATTGCATCAACATAAATGGGTTTTATTTAATTATAACAAAAATAAATGCATCTATAACACTTATTGCTAAAATAAAATCAAAGAAATTTCCTCAGACACGTTACAGTTGGTTAAAAATTATTAACATGCTGAAAAACTTATTGAAATTAAATTTATTGAAACATGCGGTATAAGAAAGAAACAAGTCTATTGTTTCATAATAGAGATGCATAGTAGCATCATTAAAATTGTATTGTATTTAGATACTTTTTTGAGACTTAAAAAAAAACTTTTAAATTACAGAAATAAAAGTGCTAGCTTTTTACTTCAAATATTTTTGCCGTTCCATCATCTGATGTCGTCAAAATTCTTTCACCGTTAGAATATACAGATATACTTAAAATCTCAGATTTATGACCAGTTAATACTTCTTTTAAAGTTCCACCTTTTATATCACATACATACACACAACCATCGTTGGCCCCAATAAATATTTTATTGTTACTACCTCTCTTCATTAAAGTCACAGATGCCTCAATTTTTGCTTGGTGTCTTAAAGTAATCCTACCAAGTTGCCATACACACAGCTGTCCAGACAAAGCACCAGTTATAACAACTCCAAGATCATTATCAAAAATAGCTGATTCGATTTCACTCTCATGCTCAATTAAAACGCTAGCTATAGTTTTACCATCGGCCATTTTAATTAGTTGAGCCCCAGGAGTGACTATTGCTAATGTTCCATCTGAATTAATATCCAAAGTGTTTACTGAACTACTATCAATATTCATCCATATTGTTGCTGAATCTTTAATATCCCATAATCGAATTTGTCCATCGTCGTACCCAGCTAAGAGCTGTTTGCCGTTTGGCAGAACTATGCCACAAGTACAAGAAACATTAGTCGGCGATGGCAATACTTTACAGTTACCAGATGGTATTTGCCACACAAATATATCGCCAGTCTGACAACCGCAAATCAAGACATTCGCTGCAGGATGCCAAGAAAGCCATTCCATATCATCACCTTCATAACACCATATTAGCTTTTTTTCTTGAATAGACCAAACCTGTAATAAAAAATATTATAAATAAAAAGTGAAAGGTTCTTGCAGTATCAATATGTAATATTTAAAATAAAAATATTTCTTGTCATGCCGGATGCGTCTCAAAAGTGGCTCACCCCCTATAACTTTTTTATTTTTTCAGATAAAAAAACGAAAATTGGTATGTCAGTATATGACATAACTTAAAATTGATTGGGGTATTCAATTGTTTTTGGTTACTCTCTGTTTCACCGGAAATGACTACAACTTTTTATTTTTAAATAGCACCCTCGGAATTTTTCTACTTTATTCGATAGAAAATGACATTCTGAATAGAATCACATATCATATGTCAACTTTCGACATTCTCGCTTAATAAAAAATTGTATTTTAAAATTCAATCTAGAGGGTCATGGCTATGTTAAAAACACTAATTCTTCATCGGGGAGCCTTGGAAAAATAGATTTGATCGTCTAATGTTTTTAGTGTCTTGTCCTGGCCAGTTAGAAAATGCTCAAATCGTATTTTTAATCATATCTTAAATTTTTCAAATGGAACGAGGGTGGCTCATTGGCATATTTGAAAAAAGAATTTTTTTACGAATAATTTGATGCCACACACTTGGTATTTCGAGTCAAATTTTCGTTACGTACCGCAAGTTATAATTTCAAATAAAACATATGCGAAAATGTCAAAAGTTGACATATGATATGTCATTCTATTCTGAGTGTCATTTTCTCTCGAATAAATTAAAAAAATACCGGGGGTGCCATTTAAAAACAAAAGTTGTAGTCATTTCCGGTGAAACCGGAAGTGACCGAAAACAATTGAATAAGTCAATCAGTCCTAATTTAGGTATGTCATATACTAACATACCAAATCTCGTCCTTTTAACTAAAAAAATAAAAAAGTTATAGGGGTGAGCCACTTTTGAGACGCATCCGGTATAACAGCTGTTTTGTAACATCTTTAGCCTTCAAGAATCATGAAAAACTGAAAATAACGAAAAGTTATGCTCATTTGCCATTATGGGAAAACCAACCACCCTCTCGTTACCGGTTTCAGAGCCTATACCCCATCGTCGGAAGAGCTAAACGGGGTAGAGGTGTGTAGTTCGTGAACGAACTAGTTCCAATGAACTATTCCGACCCCGGAATGAAAGGAACTAGTTCCTGGTTTCTCAAAGGACTAGTTCCTCAGGACCTATTCCGGGATCGAGACTGTCCGATATAGAATAATATGCGACGGTGACGGATCGGCTACAGCGCGTAGCCCGATGGCAGGCAGGAGTGGGGAGTGCCAGACGTACGTTATCGAATCAGGACCTAGAGGAACTAAACTAAATAAAAGACTAGTTTACGTACGAACGGATCGGGCCAGCGCGATCGATGCTAAGCAGGAGTGGGGAGTGCCAGCCTTATGCCGTATGTTATCGGATCCGGACCTAAAAGAACTAGAGGAACTAAATAAAAGACTAGTTTACGTATGGATCAGCCACCGTGATTGATGCTAGGCAGGCGTGGGGAGTGCGAGCCGTATGTTATCGGATCCGTACATAGAGGAACTATTAAAAGACTAGTTCACGGGAATCTATTCAGTCGGCAGATCCGAGATATAATACAAGGCGACGACGATGGATTCAGCCTTGTTTATTGCCGCAGCCGGCGCGGCGTAATTACCACAGAAAATTGTCGTGGATACTGTTTTTGATTTTTAGTTTGTTTTTTAAATATTTTATGGGAATGTTTCACTTTAGGTCCCTAAAATTAAGAAATATCTTATAAAACGAAGTAGATATTCTGAATTTTTAGACAAAAACAAAAAGCTTGAAGTGAGGAAAAATGCAATTTTTCGTAAAATTTTTGTAATATTTGCTCCAATTGATTTGTGATATAGTTTTTTATTTTTTTTTATCTGCTATAAAACTTAGCTATATGTTTTTAACATACACAATTACACGTCTCGTTATATTTCCGTACATTATAAAAATTATACAGATCATACTGTAAATAGTTCTGACTGACAACGAAACGCATTAGCAAGCAAGGGGGATGTCAATGTTAGTCGGGAACTATTGTGAACTAAAGACCTAGTTTATGGAACTATTCCTCTGGAGGAACTAGAACTAAGGAACTAGTTCCTCCCAAGGAACTAGAATTCCCACCTCTAAAACGGTGTGAATTTCAAAAAAAAACGACGTCAGAGGTGACGTAGAAATGAAGATTGCTATTATTTTGTAAGTAAACTTATACAGGGTGGCGCACCTCATTCGCCTCGGTTTATTGTAAGAAAACGGATAGATGTAGAAACAAAATATTTTATGGTTATATGGAGAGAGTGAATGTGCATAATTTAAAATTATTTTGAAATGTACAGGGTGCGTCAAATTCGACGCTTTTAAATGGAAACACCCTTTTCTATAGGAGATAGACAAAAACTAATATCGCTGTCTGGAGCTCAATTTTTGTCAAAAATATGACGGTGAAAACGGGGTGTTTTTCAAAAATATGCATTTTTAACAAATCGCTGTAACTTTTTTGCTATGGATAATGTATTTTTATGAAAACATTTCCAAAGCACCTTTTTACATAGGATTTAATGGTTTAATTATATTTTTTTTAAATTAATAACTTAAGAATTATCAACAAATTTTTTATATGGGACACCCTGTATATTTTTAGTTTATTGAAAAGAATTTAAAATTACCTTTCCAAAAATATAACACACTTGATATTTTGCTCTATACCTCTTCGAGATATAGAGTATATAAAAATTCGCCTGCTTTAAATAAGTAGGCTTTGAACGGCACCGGCTGTAATGCAAAAAAATTCTAGCTGTGAGCATCAATTAAAACGAAAATGATATTTGCTATGAGAGATGCAGAATTTTATAACAATTAAAAATATATTTAACCAACATCAACACATTTAAACTATATCTAATAACAATAAAAATAAACAGCAAACCAAGACATGAGATTTTGCTACAGGTTTTCGACATATCGACCGTCTTCTGTCGGTAGACGGGGTAGTTTTTGAACATTTCTCGCGGAATTCAGTAGGGGTGAAAGATACCCTCTCATAACTGCTAAGTATTTCTAATTCTTGTCTAGATTATACGGAAGAATAAGGAACCTTTATTCCTCCGCAAATATATCCATAGGATTAGATCCATGGGCACTAAGTCAGGCAGCCTCGACGGCCAACGGCTGGGATCTTGGTTAGCTATTCAATTATTCTTGAAATTGGCTGCAAAAATTTGCTGATAACTTCAGTGTTCAGAGGCGGTGCGTCGTTTTGCTGGAAAAATATGTTTTCGAGTTCCATTAAGGGCATATCATCAATAAGGGGTCCAGCCTACTAGTTAAAAGTGGCGAACTTTTAAAAATTCTGTATTTCGAAGGGGATTATAACAAAATATCAAGTGTGCTATATTTTTGGAAAGGTAATTTTAAATTCTTTTCAGTTAATTAAAAATATAGAGGGTGTCCCAAATAAAAAATCAATTTTTCTGTTGATAACTCTTAAATTATTAATTTTAAAAAAAGTATACTTAAACCATTAAATTCTATGTAAAAAGGTGCTTTGGAAATGTTTACATAGAAATACAAAATTTTCCATAGCAAAAAGTTACAGCGATTTATTAAAAATGCACATTTTTGAAAAACACCCCGTAACTCCGAAACGGTAACAGATATTGGTGTCCGGTTTTCACCATCATGTTTTTGATAAAAATTGAGCTCCAGACACCGATATTAGTTTGCGTCTATTTCCTATAGAAAAGGATGTTTCCATTTAAAAGCGTCGAATTTGACCCACCCTGTACAGGGTGTATATATTAGAGTTTGCTATACCTATCTGGCTCAGATTTTGAATAAAAAGCGATTTTTCAATAAAATTGTAATCAAGATGGCTAGTTTTGCCATGGCAGGTTTTCAAAATCGACATTAGTTTATGGACTTTATTCAAATTTATAACAGGTTATTTTTATTTAATTTACTTACAATAAGATTAATAAATAAATATTTATTATTTTATCAAGAAAAATGAAGCAGTATCTGCTGGCGGAAGAAATGGATATGTTACTAGTGATTTTATTTTGTGAGGACAATTACTTGTTGGCCTGAAGGGTTTATGCTCAAAGATATCCAAATGGGATTTTTTTTGACAAGCGTTCCTTTGAAAAAATACTTTTCCCATTTTACAGAGCTGACAGTGTGGTATATGAAAAACCTATTAGACAGAAACCTGTCGTTGGAAGTGAAGAAAATGAATTCGCCTTAATTGGTTCTTTTATAGAAAATGCAATATATCTACAAGTTATCGTAATATAAATCAAAGAACTACTTCTTTATTTTTCTTGATAAAATACTTACTTGTAGGTAAATTAAACAAAAGTAAACTGTTATAAATTTAAAAAAAATATGGACTTTATTTTAATTTATAACATGGTTTATGGAAACTAATGTCGATTTTGAAAATATCTACTAACTGTCACTAGCAAATTGCCATGCGACACCAGCCATCTTGATTGCAATTTTATTGAAAAATCGCTTTTTATTCAAAATCTGAGCCAGATAGGTATATGAAACCCTGATATAGTTTGAAAGACCATTTAAATCTGCTTCGATTAATTTTAAAAAATACATATAGTTCAGTCATTGGGGATTTTTGCTTGGAAAAAAGTCCGGAAGTTTTGCAACTTTGCAGGTTTATAGGTTTTGGGGTCCCTAACTAAAATCCATAAAATGCACATTTCCAGACTTGCCGCCGGCGCCGCCATCTTGCCAAGATGGCGCCCAAAATTGGAATTTTGTGAATATCTCGAAAACTATGCGTTTTTCGCGAAAATGTGTGTAAAGAGAATACAATTTCCTATAAAAAAGGTTTTATGAAAATTTTCGCTAAAGTCGAAAAAAAAATGTATAAAAGTAAAATATAAATAAGTATATATAAATATAAAAAAGTATATAAGTGTGCCTAAAGTTTAGGCACAAAATCCCTGGAAATTTTACAATTTTGCGTAAAATATGATATATTATATAGTATAGTCGATTTTCCGAAATCAAATGTCGATTAGGGTTCACTAAAACTAGTTTTAGTTTCTTCAATTTTGTCATAAATCAGTGGCGTATCATTAATTCGCTCATTAATTTATGAATAATTAATTTTAATTATTGAAAATGTGTACTTGTTTCCACACCACCCAAGAGGTAAAGTATATGGCGCGTTTATTTTAATGTGGTCTCCCCGGAGGCCTACTCCACTAGATAAATTAAAAACTTTAACTTATCTGCACAAGACCGACGGCTCTGGTTCATTGATGCCAAAGTCGATTGTGTCTGCTGTGCTGGGCTCATCAGGGTGATCTCTCAATACGTCCAACTCTTCATCTTCAGCCGCCAGAGGGATATCTACAGGCAACTTCTACTCCTCTTCATCGGATTCGTCGAGTGACACTTCAGTGACGTTGTCACAGGATTTCCCATTGCAGTATGCACAAATCATTGAACATTTTAATCCTGCTTTTCTGCATCCGAGGCTTTACCATAGTTGTTGGTTTTGCATTTACAGGATAAAAATGCCAACAGGGATTTTGGAGCTGGATCTTTCAACATTGTGACTGGAGTAATGCCTGTTTTTATTTTCTTCCAACCCCATTCTTCGGCATCTTTGGTACAACCAGACCAATGCTGATCCTGGTGGTAAGTTCGCAATGAATGCTGCCCAACACGACAATTAATTATTCATAAATTAATGAGCGAATTAATGATACGCCACTGTTTTATGACAAAATTGAAGAAACTAAACTAAAATTAGTTTTAGTGAACCCTAATCGACATTTGATTTCGGAAAATCGACTATACATAATATATCATATTTTACGCAAGTGTAAAATTTCGGTTGACTTTAGCGAAAATTTTCATAAAACCTTATTTATAGGAAATTTTATTCTCTTTAATTTTGCTCTCCTCAAATTTTCGCGAAAAACGCATAGTTTTCGGGATATTCACAAAATACCGATTTTGGGCGCCATCTTGGCAAGATGGAGGCGCCGGCGGCAAGTCTGGAAATGTGCATTTTATGGATTTTAGTTAGGGACCCCAAACCCTATAAACCTGCAAAGTTGCAAAATTTCCAGGCTTTTTTCCAAGCGGGCCCCTTTTTTGATCCCCAATGACTGAACTAATAGTGTTGTATTTGAAATAACGAAGTTTTTATGCAAAATAAATATTTAAAAAGACCAAGACAATTTTTAGCAAAGTTTGTTTCTTTGGTTTCAAAGTCGGCACAAGGGTTAACTCTGAAAAGTAATGTACAGGGCGTTGACAAACTTCTTTATTACAGCATGCATATTTAAATATCTCAAAAACCAAAGTATATAAACATATTAAACCCTTATAATGAATGCCTTATTTTATGCCCAAGAATACAAAAATCAAATAAAATACCAGGTGTTCCATAAGAAAAAATATAACTTTGGTATGGATCTTAGTTCTGACACAACCTGTACATTTGAAAAGGATTTTAAATTATGCACATTGACTCTCTACATATACCCACAAAAAATTTTGTTTCTACATCTTTCCCTTTTCGTATAATCAACCAAGGCGAATGAGGTGCGCCACTCTGTATAAGAAATGTTATCGATCGTCATTTCTAAGCCAACTGGGCGATTTTTTTTCTAGATCAGACGGTATCTGTAATTACAATCAAAAATTATTTATGCTGATTTAGATTTTTTTTCATATACCTAATATTTTTCTCAATATGTTCAAAAATTCGACTTAAGATGGAAATCAAGTCGAATTTTCTTTATTTCTTCAACTTTTTTGATTTCTATTTACAACTGTCTGTTTCTAAACCAAATCAAACCATTTATTTTTTGTAACTTTTTTGACAATAAATATCGCCTATATTTTTAAAGATTCAATTAACTACGATTGACTACAAACTTCAACAAACCATAAAAAATAGACAATAAACTGAGAAAATTGTTATTAGAAATTGCTTGAAATTATTATTATAAGTTCGAAAAATGACCGCTAGGCGAATCTGTGATGGCCAAACAAAACATGGGATTTTTATCAAAAATATGCATGTGAAGAGATATTAAATATTGCTATTATAATCAATGGAATATATTTTTTTTTTGTTTTTGGATTAACATATTTTGCCCTATCTCATAAAATAAAGTAGTGGAGGAAGGTTAAACTTTCAGTTATCAAAATAAGATGATAGCTAGAAAATAAAAAATTTAAATAACTAATACTTCTTTATGCACACTTAAAGTACAAAATTTGCAAAAAGTTAGCGAAAACTGCAACTTTTTACCTTTTCTCTAACAGAACAATTAAAGTTAGGTTTATAATAGGCACCAAATGCCATTTCAGCATTACGGTTCCTTTAACAAAATTGGCAATTCCTCTCTTAGAAATTATGAATAGTTTCATTCAGTTTTTTAAAAAAGAAAAGTTCAATTATGCCTTCCTAGAATTTTTTCCCAAACATTTACCGACCAACAGTCTTGGTGCTGAACTACTTGCATCCAGTGTGAATTTGTTTTAGACCAGTAGTACATATGCTAAGATTCACATCTTGTGAATGTGTGTGTGTTGCTATATGAAAAGGGACTCGAACAATGTGAGCTTAATACAAAGAACAAAAAAATGCAAATAACAGATAAAATAAACAAACAAGCGTAATCAAGTTCAAACTTCTGCTTTATAAAACAATTAACATCTCAAAAACACTTTGCTATTTATATATTTACCTGAATAAGTCCAGCCATATCTCCAGTTGCAACATATTGATCATTATGATTAAAGCCTACTTCCGTAACGGAATCTTTATGACCGGTACATTCAAAGACTACCTCTCCTGTTTTAATATTCCAGACATATGCGACATCATCTTCACCTCCTGTAACAGCTAACATTTCATCTTTACTAACATCATTGGTAAAAATAGACTTTGTATGTTTTGAGAATGTTGAAATAGAGACATCGATTACTTCAGTTTCAATATGATCATCCCCAAGTTGTTGACCGTTTACAAGATCCTCGTTGTACTCATCCTCGTCATCAGAATAAATAATCTCTATATCTCCTATATCTTCAGGTAAATCTTCAAAATCATCCATTATATACTTTCCGGATCAAACACTTTGATTTTAATAATTATTTTATTAAATGGAAAAGCACATTTTTTGAATCTGTTCACAGATTCACAGACCACAGATTCACAGTCATTTCACAGTATATGACAATGACAGTGACAGTATTTAACCACCACCCCCTCCACTTAAAGCCATTCAACCTTTTCCAATATGGCGGAGATAGAAGTGCTTAATTTGACGCATATCAAAGGCGCGTAAAAACCAGAGGTAAAAACCTTGTTTTAAACCCTGTTTTATTTTCAAATAGACATTTTTCACACAAATGTCGGGTTAGATTACGTAATATTTCACTAATTTTTTAATATACAGGGAGTCTAAAGTTCTCCACATAAGTATGGAATTTTTGTATTATTACTTTTATGAAAATATCAGTTAGTTAATTTTTATATAAAGGTCTGCTTTCTCAGAAAATAGGTAGTATTAAAATATTCAAACTTGAGGTAGCATATATGGGGTGTACAAAATCACCGGAAACAGAAATAACCAGAAATATATGACAGAAAATAGCAATATAAACTAATATTCAATTGCAAACACTTACCTACCATAGTTTAGAATTTACTGAACGTTTGATAAATATATACTATTATGGACAGTTTAGGGTTCAGGGACAGACAAAATTAGGGTTCTGTAGAAATGCCTATTTCGTAAATCAATATGCTTTTATAAGGTGGTAGTATGGAGAATATAATACATTTGCACATACCTTTTTTTAGCCTCGGTACCTTTAAAGGTACATCTAATGCTTCACCTGTTATGTCATAATATTTTGTACTCCTTTCAATTTCTTCATCGCGAAAATGTAAGAAGTACCATTGCGATAAAAAAAAAGTAGTACAAGAATTAGTAGTCCCAGATAGAACTCCTGTTCTATAAGGATATCGAGAAGTAGATATCGTCGAACAATACAATTATGCCACCTAACTGTTTAGGCGTTACCATCAATTTGGTAATAATTGGTAGGTATACGTGGCGAAATAAAAGTATAAAAAAATTTACTTACCTTTTAAAGATGAGCAATTTTTCAAGTTTTAGTACTTTTTTCATCGCAATGGTACTGTGCAGACTGGCGGTGAAGGCTTTTTACTCATTTAGGTGTAATATCTTGATAAATACTTCTAGTTCTTACCTTAAAATAATTAATAATACACGAGTACGACAAGCACAAAAGTTTGAAGTTCCCTATGTGGAATGTCTGGTTTGGATTTTTATTACACTCTTATTTTATCACAATTTTCTGATCACACCGTGCACTGAACACTAAGAACTAAACAAACGTGTTGCAGAAGCACAACAAACTAGAGATAATTAATTATTTCTGGTATGCAATCGGAACGAGAAACCACTACCGGCTTTTCAGGTTAAAGCTAAACAATTTAAAAATGCACTGCCTTCGCCGCCATAATGGCCTTGCGCATATCATGTTGAATAGCCTTAAGTGGAGGGAGTGATGACTATTCACAGATGCAGATCACACTCTGTCCAGGTCTCGCTGTCACTTCCCCTCTTTAATTGACATCTGTTTGTTTTGTTTTGTTTTTCGTTTGTGTTGTTATCTAGTTAAAATTTATTATTATCTCAATTATTCTAAACACTAATTCAAAAAGGCTTGTTGTATATTCATAGTCATTCTAAGAAAGCTAATACGCCGGGAATAATGATTAGTTTTCATGTGTAAGTTTATACAACATAATCGTGTTTACAGATGATTCAAAACTGTTTATTTTAGTTTTCCTAAAGGCGATTTGTAAAAATCGTGATTGTAATTGGGAATGGTCAAAAATAAGTGTATGATGTGGCCATTTAAAGAGGATGTTTTTATTACGTGTGGAGGAAGAAGATACTTGGAATCAATGTTCGTGCTTCTGTAAAACAGTGCACTCTTATAGTGTCCATGAAAGCACAAGTTCAAGTGTACCAGAAATATGTCAAATAAGATTGGTCCTTACTTGACAAGAAGATTATTTGGAGGAAAAGAAAACATAAGATAGGGTATTTTAATCGAACAGCGAAAATTTAACATTTTTATTGTAAAGTTTGTTGTAGGTAGTTGTAGTTTTGTGCTAAATATTTCTAACATTAGCAGCAGCCGTGTTCAGAGTGTCAAGAGGAGGAGAATTCAGTTAATTAGATTTATGCACAGTTACAGGTATGAAGGCTTTTTCAAACATAGTATCGAGTTCTATAGTCAACATTTTTAGTATTCCTACAACTGTAAAAACAAGGAACATTGGACTGAAAAAATGGCAAGATTATATAGGAAGAAAGGGTATTATGCCAATAAGAAAATTAAATCTGTAGGCAGAAGTTTCTTATTTAAAAACTGTTATGGGGCATATATTAATTTGTATCTGTGCCACAAATCACTGAGAAAAATCATATAATATTCATAATTGTTAACGAGATGATATTTAAAGAGTGTTAAAAATGAGATTATTAGTCATGAAGCTTACAATGTTACTTTGTTTCAATATTACACTTTTATTCTTGTAAAATCTATGATGAAGCTCAAAAGCATTTTGCAATGGCCTTAAATTGTGAGCCAGGATTTATAGCAAAGGTATTTGATGCAATGAAACTTAATCAGGGGATTGTCAATCCCATGTTTTTAAATAGATAAAATACAGGCCAAAGTTGACAATATTACAGTTGAGAAGAAACTATTTTATCTTAAAAAAAATTTCTTAAAATTCTGAGATCATATAATCTAATTTTCTTAATAAATTAGGTATATGTATGTTGTACATACAGAATTTTGGTATGGACAAATAAGGATCGACAAGCTTCTTTTGTGCAAAAAATAAATTATTTTTTGTAGTATTAAGACAAACGATAATGTGTTTTACAAACTTACCGGTAACAGTTTTTTTTATAATAAAATATTTAGGAATAATTTGGGTTGTTTATCAATATATTAATGACTTGAATTTTGACAAATTGAATTTGTATCAAAATAATTTTACGAAATATAAAATTGATGTTCTATTACAAGACTGAGTTTTTTTTGTCGACAAAAACCAGGATAAATACTAATAATAATACCCATAATAAAATCAATGATGTTTATGTATTATGAAAATATTTGTTAGAAGACATGTTATGTATACTTGTATTCATTTAAAACCATAGATAAATGAAACAAGTTTAGATTGGAAAGTGCCCATAAGGACAATGTAAACACTATTTGGCGCTATTCTTGCAACGGTCGCGACCCAAAACTTTTGAAAATTTCGGAGCGGTTCGGCTTTTTCCGGAATTATATCGCCAAATATTGTTTATTCAAATTTATTATTATTTTTGTTTAATTTTATAAATAAAATACAGTGTGTTGCATTCAAGAAACTTTATTTTCCATAAGGACGCATATATGAAATACCTATGAAACACTGGAAATCGATGTTATGCCACGATCCACGATGGTTTTTGCAGTTCACAGCACAGCTTTTTAAGTTTTTAATGCCACTTTTTCACAATTATCACCGGTTGGAATAAATAAAACTTGAATTAAACTCACAACATAGCAGTAATTACTTTGAAAATGGACGCTATAAACACTTTTCGGAATTTCTTTAATGAAAGCGGTTTAGATTTTGAAAGATTATTATGATTTTTGAAGATTCTGACTTTGACAAGAGAAAATTATTTCTGTTTTTGTTTGCCGTTGTTCTTAGCGACCGCTATAGCAGCGCCAGATCGCGTATAACGGTCGCGACCCAAAATAATTTCGCGACCTAAAATTTTTACGGGCTTTCCAATCTAAACTTGTTGCATTTATCTATGTTTAAAACTTCCCAATATGGCGGACTTCAGTATGGGAGGCTTAAAAAACGAAAATCTCTAAACTGGAATCGACTGTACTTCAAATCGTTCAAATTGATAATCTTGGTAAATCCAATTGAACTCTGACACTTGGCTGACATTGACGTTTACGGTTACTTTTTCTAAATATTTTCATTATTTTTTTAGTTTTTATTCACAAATTCTACTTGATTTTGTTCTTTTATTTAACCTGCAACCTGCAGTACTAATTATATAGTTATAAATAATCTTTTCACCGATCAAGAGTTGACGAATAGGCTGGAAGATATTCAAAATGTGTAAATCGCTTAAAAACGTATTAGAAAACATTGGCTCGTTCATAAATTCGTGAAAATAAATTAGTCCAGATGTTTGTAAAAGGTATTATTATAATTATTTTGAGAAGTTTCCTCGTATCAGTAATTTTCAGGTTTGTAATATCTACTATATGATAATAAATAGATTAAAACTTATATTTCAGGAAACAGCGCGGGCATTACAGATTGTTGTAAATCAGTTTTAAAATATAAAGAAGGTTTAAAACAGGTTTAAAAGTTGAGTTGGTAGAGAAGACCTAAATAAGGTAATGTTGGTAATGGGACCAAACATCAAATAACACTTGAAATATATAATTATGTACAATAATTGTAAGTAGTTTTTATGAATCTGTTTGATATCTATTGCATTGTTTTTATATTTCTTGAAATATTTTTTTACTTTACAGGATACACAAGGAATAATAAAAAATACAATTACTCACTAAAAGCACTTAAGGTTTGTAATAGATGTAGTTAGAATATCAAACACCAAACTAAACCAAAAATTATGTTTTATTTTACTGGTATTCCTCACATTTGAAGGGAAAGTCATTTCATAAATAAGCAGGACATTGTATAGTACACTCTATATTAATAATTGTTTTTTATCCTATACTTGTTAGTTAACGCATCACTTACTCGGTATAAAATTTAGTACAGATTAACCTATAGTTGTGGTTGTGATATATTCTGATGTGTTTCTGGCAATTTAAAATAAGTTAATATTTAAACAAACATTTCTGGATTTCCTGGCAGGAGTGTGGACACAAATTTAATAAAGGTATAATGTGGATAATGTTCTGATTATTACAGTTTGCATGGATGTTTTGGTATGTTGTTATTTTTAATAAAGTATATTTAATGAGTTTTTGAGTATTTCTTTTTCCTTCAGAGGATTGTGTTCTAATCTTTATATATTATAAATTTTCATAAATTATATATACAAAATTTATTACCTTATAATTTTTTGCTAAATAC